ACTTAAACAGTGATAAAAGCTTTATGTAATCCTAATTATGAAGTACTCGAATAGAGGCTATTTTTATTTATATAATTACATTTGATAACCAGAAATGAATTTATTACAGTAAAGTAGTTTCGGTCATCTGAAATATTAGTTGCGTTCAGATTTCTTGCGTTAGAGGAGAGCTTAACAGCCGACTTCTCACTAAGGCTCAGAACACACGGTGAAACGCAACTGCAACGAAACCCTTTTGAAATCATTGATTTGAAACCAGTTTCAACCATTTTTCACACAGGCTGCAACCACAATCATTTCGGTTTTCTTTGAGAACAGACGTCTGCAAAATGAGTTCTCGAGTGACGAAGAAATTGTGGTTATGTATTTGTATCTTCGACAAAGAAGAAGGCGCAAAAGGAGAACTATGTGGATACATCCCTACATCGAGAAGAATATCAACAGTCGTATGTTTGTGGCTGCCAAAGAATTACAAGAATTAGTGTGGTATTATACAAGCAAGGATACTTTTCCACTTCTAACACAAATGTAACGTTATTTTGTTCGTCGTCAGCCAGTTAGTCAGTGGTACTAACCACTAGACCAAGGAGCCGTCCGAAATTCATTGATAGATTTATGACAATGTGTTGTGATCTTAACTGCGTGTATTCTATCAAGTATAAGTAATCTACACACGTCAATATTATAAAAAAAAACACTTAGACAAAACAGATTACATTGATAAACAAAATATGAAACATAAAATTGACGGCTGGTGGTTAGTACCCCTGACTGCGAATCCATGGGTCCCCGGCTGAGACAAACATCGATGTGATGTGCATTTGGTGTTGTGCTTAGGTCTTGGGTGTTTAAATATGTATTTATATGTCTATCTATAATATGTATGTATATCCGTTGCCTAGTACCCATAACACAAGCTTCACCAGCTTAGCATGGGACTAGGTTAATTGGTGTGAATTGTCCAATAAAAAAAAAATTATCATGATCCTAACAACTTAATATTTTAAAGAAAAAACTAAATTGTTACTACTTCTATATAAAGTCAAGGTGTTCGTGCTTTCCCAAAATACCCCCACTAAATCAATTACTGTAGCAAAGTTAAAGAAATGTAGTCAATCCGAATGAATAAAGAGAATTTTAAATTACAGACCTGCACATTCGAATTACGCTTACGACAGAGGGCAGGAGGTAGGCTCTTATTAAGTGATACCACCACCCATGGACACTTAATGCAAGAGGGCTCGCGAGTGCGTTGCCGGCCTTTTAAAGACGATTATTGGATGTCGGAAAAGCCACTTCGAATACCAAGCATGCATATTATGATGGATTTTGATAGAGATTGGACAATTAATAATTAAAAACGTAATCTTCGTTGTCTAATCGTGGAGCCTTGTATAAATTAGGTTTTTGTTATGATTGTGGAATATTGCGTGTGCCGAGCAGTTTACCTCGTGCGTTTGAGTGTAACGACCCAAATGCAGTCATACATACATACATATATTATTTGATCTAGACTCACTAATGAGACAGTTCTTGTAATAATAAATGTGTCAAGAAAAAAATTAACTTTTCTAATATGGTCACAATTAGTGTCGAAATCTCTGTCTATTTCTGTTTATAGGACGTTTATGATTAATGTAAAAGCAGCTGCAAGTGATAGTTGAGACTTTAAAATTTTTATATTGACCTTATTTACCCCAAAAACAGATAAAATATTTAAATTTTCCTCCGCAATGAGATCAAGGTGTAAGTGGCGCCTTGCATGTAAATTTTAAATTAATTCAGTTGCGAGAGGAATTAAGATATTTTAATAAATTTATTAATACTAAATTAGCTTAAAACGATTTACATTAAAAAAATACAATAAATTTATTAGTTTTAACGAAAACTTTTATGAATGAATATTAAAAATATCACTTCGTTTCCCGCTTTCCTATATTTCTATTTATTATAATATAAATATTAATTTAATAATACTTTCAATAAGATAATAGATCAAAATTGGTTTGTCATTAGGTATATCACGGCTACGAGTTTGTATTAACAAATTCATTTTAATATTATTACACACAAACACAAAACCAATTCGACTTAGGGTTCTTAACAAGAAAAGAGCGTACCAATTCTTAATAGGCCGGCAACGCACTCGTGAGCCCTCTGGCATTGAGAGCGTCCATGGGCGGCGTTATTACTTAACATCAGACGAGGCTCCTGCCCGTTTATTCCATTAAAAAAAAATATATGTATGTATATTGTAGTACTCGGAATACTCGTTAATTAAAAGTCATTATATAATTTTTTTTGTATTTTTGTACATATTGTAATGAAAGATTTCAAAAATTAATTCACGGTTAAAATGCGACATAATCCCTGAGTAATACATACTATATGTATTCCAATAAAACGATAAAGAATTATCTAAAATATATATGTCGAATAGATTCAATCGATCCTAAAACAGCAAGTTCATATAAAAGAGAACTATCGTAAATTTTAAACATAAATTAACCATATGATTTTAAACATATGAATAAATATTTGTTATGAATAAATTGCCTTGATTACTTACCATACAATGGTCCAACCATCAATAGATATAATATGATCACACAAAATATTTGTTTCCGTAATCCAAATAATCGAGGTTTTAATATCACCATCACAGTATTTGCAACTAACCCGAACACTTCAAACATCTTCGTACCAAACTTATTCTCATTTGACGTCCGTTCTTCTTTAGGTAACACATCTTCTAATTTAAACAAGCCATAAAGGAATGAACAAGTGTGCAACACTAGAAGGAGGGAAAATACGCCATAGTATCCCAGCGCACGTAATGCAATACCACTTATAGCGGTCCCAGCAGGAGTGCCAAAGCTCACACAAATTGTCACAACACCTAATCGAAATGTTCTGTCTTTCACGCTCGTTCTATCAGCCATAAAACTGTACATTCCCATGAATATTACAATGTAACTGCCGGTGAAGGCAGCGGGAAGCGCTTCTATTAGCGCCGTCGCTGTCAATGATAATTCGTAGAAATAATATGTCGCTAATAACAACCCTATGTTTGCGATAATCTCCCCCGTAAACGGGAATAGGATACAAATTTTCCGTTTCTTCGTTTTATCGCTCCATGCGCCGATGAATAATATCATAACAGCCGGGATGCCAGTTTGCAAAGGGAACTTCCAAGCTACGACCTTGGCGACTAAAGATTGTACATTGTTCAGTTCATTCTCTAAGCCAGTAGTGTTCCTATCACGTATTCGATCACATATATCTGTCGAATAGTTAAAGTTAACTCTACAAGATTTTTCCAAGTGCATATTCTGCACTGCCATCGACGATAACGCAGTACACAACATGTAGGTGAACAGACACGGCTCCACGGTCGTCTCTCTGAGGATATTTTTCACATTTTTTATTTTGCTGTTCAATTGTTTCCGCCACGTATCCCGTTCAAGGTCATCCGTGAGCCGTATGTTCGATTTGGTGAAGTCCACGGAGCCACAAATGTTAACTGAACTGCTCATGATTGAGTGAGAGTAAGTAAAAGTGTTTTTGATCCGCGCACAACACTACACTTGGCATGCGCCGGCGTCCGATAGCGACTACTTAATCCGTGACTTTCTGTTTCCAAAAACCAGAGTTAAGTTGTAAAATGAAGCGCGATAGTGCACTTGCGTACGAATTGATCTCGGTTGCAGACGATAACAGAGGTCTCATCGCACACGACCGTCTTTATAAAATGTTCGTTTATCTGAGCATTTCGAGTAGCGTTAATGATGTTACGACAAATATTAAAACACTTGTGAAGGAGGTTTTGTTATCACAATTTCGACTATGCAAGGTTGTTTTAGTGAAACCGAGACAAAGAATAATAATTAAACGATATAAGAACGTTGACTTGTTTTTTATGATATTACTCTGTACGAGTGTTTACACTGCGTCAACTCACCTGTAAATAATTACTACAAAAACTACCTGATTTCAAGGTTCTACTGATTTCAATAGTTATGATTTTCAATGTTAATTCGAAAACATTTCACAGAAGATTTTTGATACGTAAAGTCGAAAAATGTTAGTGTTCCTAATAATAAATATATCATTTAGTTAATGAGGTCATTAGGTAGATAGGTACCTATTATGGTAATTAGTTATTAACGTAATTTGTTGTTCAAGGGAAGTAATATTTGTTGGAGGGTTCGATTACCGCTGATTCAATAGTTTGGGCTGGAAGGGGCTAAGAGTTGATCTCAAAGTCCGGCTTTTAAAGATAAATAATCGGAGCCGTTTTAAATCTATTATTATATCCATATACTATATTATATAACCTATATATTGATGACTATTAACACTTTTACTGTATGTATGTTTAGTTTTAATATTATATTTGTACCCTAATCGTAGAATTTAATAATATACTGCATTCTGGCTACCATATGAAAATTCATTATAATGTTCATCGTATAACGGATAATCAACTGAGTCGTTGATAAGCTGTACAAAAATTGCACCTTTATAAACTTACGTAGTAATTTAAAAAATTAAACGCCTTTTAAAAATAAAAATAAACATAAACGAAAAAAATATTATTACTAAGTTATTACTCTTTAAAAAATATTCTCTTGTTTTTACTGTATTTCTTATAACGTAGATTTAAATTTACAATTTCCTTAGCTATATCGTGTTCCTTCTCACTAATAAATATTTGGCAAAAATGATACAGGAAAGATAACTTTATTATAGAAAAAATCGAATTAATTGAATTATAAACATTTAATTAAAATTAAAAACATTATTAAACATAGAATATAAAATAGCATTGTTGCTGGAATTACGTTGCGAGTCCAATGTCAAATCACCGAAGTTTGTTTACACAATGGCTTATGTCAAATAGGCGCCATCTTTGGGCGCCATGTATTTATTGTATTGAATTCCAGTTTATGAAGTTCTTAAAACATATGCACAGTACTATTCCAGGGAATTTCCGCTGATCATAAAACTGTAACTGAATTTTCATGCGCGTGCTCTTCATTTGCTTCGGGATTCTTTACGACGTCTCTTTCATCTCTTTTATGCATGAAATAGAGAGCTCTGAAAACAAAAATGGTTAAGCTTATTGTTGTATGATAACACCTGATAGTTGACTTTAATTGAATTTTAATAGGTTGTAAATTAATTATTTATAATTTACACTTTCGAAACTACATAATGTCTTCTTCCTATGTGCGCATTTAACACATTATAAAGAAGATTTCTGTTTCAATATTTCAAACGTTAACAAAAGTACATATGTACATGATCTACTAAAATGAATAGTAACTAAAATTATAAATACAAATTACTTATACCCAGCTCTTCCGTAACTTATATAAATAAAGACGTGTGCAAATGTAAGACTATGTATTCGTTTGTGTGTGTGTGTAATGTTATATAAAAACAGCCATTAGATCCTCTAATTCTGTATAACTTTCTGCAGCCGAATGGCTGGCTTATAATTGTTGCTTCCCATGAAATAAAAAGGTGATGATAAAACCTTGATGTAATTTAATAAAAACAGTAATTAACAGAATTTGCTATGAATATTATTTTATGTAATTAAGTATAAAATACATTGTTTTGTTTTATTGTGCTTTCTTAAATGAGTTGCTAAGAAAAATATTCAAGGTTTATATAAATAATTGGTTTATACCTAAAATTGCGTGGTACTTACAAATAAGCGAATAGACCAGGTACAGTCATGATACCGCCAAGGTAGAGGGAAGCCTCTGGCATTGTATTAAGGGTTATCGAATATACCTTAGTGAATAGAGGTGAGTATATTACTGGACTTATTGATTCCATAAATGCAAGAAGGGAACAGATTTTTCCTGAAATAAAAATAAATATAGCAAGTCATAAATTGTATTTGAATTTGAATATATCTTATAATATTACTAGCTGACCCGGCAAATGTTATCCTATATGAAAATAATTACAGTTCTCTTTATTAAAAAATGAGCTGCAGTAGGACAAGTGCTATATACTATTATAAACGTAAAAAAATACCAAAAATTATTAAAATCGCATCATAGAGCAGAACTGAGCCGTGATAAGTAATAATCACTGTGTTTCTCTAAGCCACTTTTCGAGTTCTCCTCAAAGCAAACACGAATTTATATCAAATTAATATGATGTTTTAAGATACTTACCAATTTCGTGAACTTCAACGATTTTCGTTCCAAATGATTTGGCGACTACACCTCCGGCGTTCCCAAACATTTCAATAATAGGTGCGACATAAAACCACCCAACGTTTGGGGCCAAGGCAAAGAAAATGTTTCCTAATATTTTACTTATTGATATAATTACACCAAGAAGTGTGTCATGCATTTTCAAGTATTTGCTGAAAACCTCCTGGTGCCTGAAACCAAAATATTTATGGGTAAAGTCAAATGTTAGATTCTTAAGCCTGTATTCCTACGTTCGAACTAGCTCCGGTGGAGTTCCTTCGTATGTACGCAACATTTGTTCGGAGCAATTCTGAGGACTGCCTATAAACTCTAAATTCGACGACATTTGCCAGCAATAAAAGGCTGAAAATATATAGACAATTTAAGTATATGGGCGCCGGTATCACTTAACACCAGGTAAGCTTTCTGCCCGTTTGCCCACTGTTATATAAAAAAGGGGTAAGTAATATTGTATTGAATTAGTCACGTTAAAAGCCTTAATATTAATCTAATAAGTACCTATATTATTCATACAGCAATCACAGAGAAATGCTAGATCTGCATTGTATAAACTATTCGTGTTTTCTAGCAGTGTTGGTCTATTAGCAGCTATGATGGGGTTTGAACCCCTACTAACAATGGACGATACAAATACTGAACCCAACACCAAGAGTTTTGCGCCACTGTAGTTTTTGTGTATCAAATAAAATATATAATAGCCCGGTCAATTTAGACATTCGAAGTTACATAAAGTCCCAAGCTGAATTTTTGTGAAATTGTTCAAAACATAATTATAAACAATGTCTAGAAGTTCCCCATCATTCCCGTGTAAGGAAATTTTTTTATTCAAGGGCAAAGGCCAAAAAATGAGAAAAAAGCGCCTGTGCACTTGAACCCCACGGCCCAAGAGTATCTACTCCAAAGGGAACAAAATTGAAGTTGGAGGAAAGACTCTTATATTTGTGCCGTTTGTTATTTTCTGCCTGCTCTGCGGCCGCCCCAGCTTTTTTGCTTGTCCGAAGGAGATGAGACGGGGCAAAGGTGTCTACACAGGTAGCATCCCATACTAAAACCCGTCCCATTTTCCAAGGGATCAAAGACATTCCATCTGGCCGCTTGCCATCGTCTCTAAAAACGATCCAAAAAGTTATAAAAGTTGTTATCGACGACCGGCCTTGAAAAATAACTAAATAACAGAAACTGCCTTAAAAAAACGCTCAGTTGTGGAACGGACGTCGGGGCGAAACATCATATCTTACAAACAGAAAGTAAATATGATCAAAGATGCAGGTGAACCTGAAGAAGAATAAAGGGTTGTTTGGACATATAATTGCTATTAATCGACTAATGTTACCTGCCATTCCTAATACTTGGGAATATGTTGTGAATATACTGAACGCGGCGTTAGTCATTCCATACTTTTTGAGGGCGTATAGATTTTTCAAATTTCCTACAGCTGAAATTAAATAATTGTATCGTTTAAATTCAAATTCAAAATCATAAAAAATAAATTTTCTTAGATACTCGGCGCCGCTCCGTCTCCCAAGATACAACGCTGTTTTTGCATAATAACGAATGTATAGAAAAGAGTTGCTTTAACGTGCAACGTGTTCGAAACAAATTATAAGACCTTCAAAAAAAATAAAGATTGAACAAAAGCTTAAGAGACATCTTTTTAAAGTTTGTACTTTGTAAAATTTTGTTAAAAGTAATGCTAATTACTTAAGTTATATACCTAAGTTACTTAATATCTCCGACGAAAAAATCCGGGAAAAAAGCTAAGAAAATATATATTAAAAAATACCTGTCCGGTAACTACGATCAGAGACTCAAGGACGCCTTGGACAGATATATTATTGAATCTATTTAATTGGACCATCTGGTTGGTGTGCCCACCTGCTCGAAACAGTTACCGTGCTAGCCGAGACTCAATAGTTCCGGTTACAAGGCATGCAGCAATTATATTATTTAAGATTTTATTTCAATCATAATATTATTTTAATTTTAAATATTGGTTTGTTCACGTAACGTACCCAAAAATAACTATTAAATAAATATTGAAAATTTTATAACAACATTATTGAATTATTAAAACACTATTTTGACCGGCACGTGACCACGCACGTGGTCACGTGCGTGACCACGTGCATGACGTGCGGAGTCACCGTGACCACGCACGCTGTAAAGCACGCGAAACGTCGGATAAATTTAAAATTATGTTAAATAGTTGTAAATTTATAATAATACATAACTTCAATCCGGTCAAAATAGTGTTTTATTAAATGAATAAAAGTTATGTTAATCAAAGACAATACAACATTATTGAAGATGGAATGGATTGGATGGATTTATATAGGTACCTTAGATATACATAATAATAATAACCTTTTTTTTTTTTTTTTGATATCCTAGGTGGAAATGCATTTGTGCATCCCCTGAACAGGGGTATGTGGGACTCGACCTACGCCAAAATCTCTGCTATTCAGAGACTGGGTGAGCAATACCCACTAAAACCACCTCGAGTAGTTCCGACAAAGCCGCGTTACAGAGGCTCCGGGGTCGCTGTCGCATTCTACCGGGACCAATAATAATAACCTACTAATTCAGATACTTTTACATTTAAACATGTTTTTATTTCAATCTTTTTTTAGATTTTATTAGGCAAACAGATGCCCCTTTTTGGCGAAGGCATCCTCCAAATCCCGCCACTCTCTGCCATGCACCACCTGCTGTTTCTTTAATGTGGTCGATCTTCGAATTTGTCTTCCTCTTTTACGTTTGCTGTACCTTGGTTCAGAACGTTTTTGCTTCACGTTTCTGTTCCTCTCGCCAAATTACAGTGCAAATTATGGCTACAAATACGACCTTGAAATTTTAATCTTAAATGTTTTAGATGACGCGCTTTGACATTTCCAACACTTTCAATAATTATGTTGCATTCCAAATTGTGGTAAACAATAAAACCAAATATCCGTGTAGTTTCAGTAGTTTTTGAGTTCGGGAACTTACAGATTTGGTGGAGGACTTTCTTTTATATAATTATGTAATGACGAAGGGTTTAATTATGTTAGTGAATTCGATGTTGTAAAAGTGGAAGCATTAAAATCGGGAAAGCGGGATTGAAGTATGAGAAGTTGGCTTTCACTCTTTTGGAGGTATATTTCACGAACAAATTATGTACCTTTTTATCATATTTTGCGATACAATCTTACTTGAATTACCTACTAATTATTACTACTTACCAAAAATTGGTCCAATTATATCTACATAAGCACCAAGAATTAGTATTACACGAAGAAGCTTCTTCCCGCGAAACAAATTTAGAAATGACAGTAAACTTTCGAAATTAAAAAATTGCGTAAGCTTGTTCCAAATTGTTCCTTTCAGTGGTTGACGTCTGACATCTTTAACATTAAAACATGTGTGTATAAATCCAATAGCAAATAAAACTGTCGTCGCTATAAACAACCATAAGTAGCCAAGTACTTCGGTCAAGTAACCACCAAGAGCACTACTTAGAGGAAAACTCACGGAAACTATAAGTACTACAACTCCCATTCTCAATGTTCTAGACTCCACTGTCGTTACATCCGAAATATAGCTGATCCCATGAAAGCAACTGAGAAGCTTCCTGAAAGTGCAGACGGGAGTGCTTCAATTAAACCTGTGACCCACAGCGGCCATTCCAAGAGGAAATACGTAGCAAGAAATAAACCAAATGCGGATATCGTTTCTCCTAAAATAGGTATGATCATCAAAGCCTTTCTGTTTCCGGTTTTATCACTCCAAGCTCCAATAAAGAGAACTATAAAAGCTGGTAATCCCGTCTGCAATGGCTGTGTCCACGCAAGCATATCAGCTACAAATATTTGTGCTCCATTCGAAGCTTCAGCTATTATGTTATCGGGTACAATACCAGTAACAACATTTTCACAAATATTTTCTGAGTAACCCAAATCCGCAGTATATATTTATTATCATTGGTAGTAAGTAACATAGTAAAAATGGCTCAACACTTATGTTATTGAAAAGTTGTTTGCTCTGTTTTTTAAAGAAACTGTTGATATTTCAGTGGCTTTTGGATCATTGTCTTTATTTTCACTTATTTCTAATACACTTGTTTTGTTTGACATTTTTAAGCTATAAGGTATTTTATATGTCTGTCTCTTTGTAAACACCCGCAAGAACTGACATCATCGGTTAGTTTGGGTATGCGAAACTCGTGTTTAATTATACTTGAAACTGCAGCAACTTTAGTGGTGATATTATAATATTTAGACGTTTATATCAAATCGTTTTCTTCGTTGAGATCCTATTCGGAATCAATTTGCGTATGACCTTTGAATGAATATCATCAACAGTATCGGACATTGTATTATTATTCTCACATTCTTTAACATTATCATTTAATACATGTTTAGTAGTTGCCTTCAGTTCCATTCTTTAGACAAGTTTAAACATGGTAATAATATTATTGTGGCACAACAAATGCAGTAATACATACGAGTATATTATTTGATCTAGACTCACTAATGACCCAATTCCTGTAACAATGAATGTGTCAAGAAAAACATTTATTAACATTTCTAACGTTATGGTCTCAATTACTGTCGAATGCTCTGTCTGTTTATATCCGATTTTAATGAGTTTCACTCTATGGTTCATAAAATAACTATTATTTGCAAACTAACAGAAAAGATGAAACATATTTAGCTAATTCAGCTCCTTTAAAATAATTTTCCATTTACTCAAGACTGTCTTTAAACAGCGAAATAATTCCGCAAACGCACTCGCGACCCCAGCATTGTGATTGCCCATTGGTGACGGTATAACTTTAGTTAGTTTTGGACGTGACAACGTGTAATAAATCTAAAAACTCCGGCTGCACGCACGAAAAACCATGACTCATTGTCCCGTAACGCTCATTGTACGCTCGCGCCGCATTTATCTCTTTTCCGATTCCATGTGCGCTATATTCGCTATACTCGATTGGCGTATGCGTCCGAGGTTACTCTATTTCTTTGTATTTATACAAAATAGTGACAATTCAATTTAAATGATTCAATTTTACTTGAAAATATGCAATAATTTCATCAATGTTTTGTTATGACGTTGTCACGTTAAACTATCGTCCGTAAGCCGACTTCACAGACAATTATTTTTATTATTCTGACCTTCCTTAGATTGGCAAAACATTCTAGGTCTACTCACGTCGTGGTGATTATAAGACGGAGAAAAGTTTGTGTGATAAATACAATAGTCTTGGCTCGTACGTAATTGATTATTTAATTATAATTTACTGTCTTCATAGAATGCAATGTAATGTGAATATTAAAACACTGCTGGCGACTGCCTGTGTATCACGGATTTAATTCTAACGATCTCAGTAATGGCACTTGCTAAGAAGAGAAGACTAATTACTACGCTATTCAAACTCCAAGTACAGCCAAGTTCTGTTACAAATTAAAATGCACTTTTTTAAATGAAGTAATGAAATGTTCTTAAAATTATACCTACATATTTATTAAAGTCTCAGCAAAAACTACAAAAAATACTCTATTTGAAATGGCCACCTTTGGCTTTAATCTGTTTGGCCACGAATCTATGGATTTACGCACTGTTTGCAAGGGAAATTTCGCCACTGCTTGCTCCAATGATTTTTTGAGGGACTCAATATCGCCGTGTCGTTTAGAGCAGGCAAACATGTGCCAAAACAGACCATAATTTGAAGTCTAAATGGTTGAGGTCTGAGCTAGATGAGGGCCAGTCTTCAGCTCTTATAAAGTCCAGATCAAGCCAGGCTTGGGTAGTTCGTGCTTTGCTTTAACAGCATTAACATTCTTTGTAGTTCTAGCACGCGGCCGCCCCGATCTTTCCTGGTCTTCGACAGACGAAGTGTTGTTGTATCTGTTGATAGTACGATATACCAACATACGGCTGATACCAAACCTTTAAAGTGTCAAGAATATGAGCGACGGCTCCATATTCACTTTTTGAAGGCGATTACTGCAACCCTAGTTTCTTTAACACCCCATTTAATATTGTAATTTGATAATTAACAAGAAAAAATATGTGAAATGTCGCAAAATCAACAGAAGTTTTTAAAATAATATTAGAGTTCCAAATTCATTCAACTGACCTGTAAATAATTGCTACGAAAACTGCCTGATTTCTAGGTGAGTTAGTGAAAAACGAGTGATTTAATATAAGGGTATTAATAGTTACGATGTTATTTCGAAAATATTTCACAGAAGAATTTTGATACATAATGTTTAAAATTTTAGTATTCTTAATTATAATATATCATTTAGTTAATGTACTACCTATTATTGTAATTAGTTATTAACGAAATAAGTTGTTCAAGAAAAGTAATATTTGTTTTATCGGGTTCGATTACCGCTGATTCAAATGTTTGGGCTGGAAGTGGCTTAGAGTTGATCTCAATGTCCGGCTTTTAAAGATAAATTATCAGAGCAGTGTTAAAACTATTGATGACTATTAACACTATTATGTACTATGTATGTTTAGTTTCAATATTATATATAAGGGTTTTGGTAGAAGTAAATAAAATATTTCATTCTGGCTACCATATGAAAATTCATTATAATGTTCATCGTATAACTGTTAGTCAACTATGTCGTTGATAAGCTGTATAAAAAATTGCGCCTTTATAAACTTACAGAATAATGTCGAAAATGAAACGCCTTTAAAAAATAATTATTTTAATAAAAATAAACATACAAACTAATAAAATTTTATGACTACGTTATTAATCTTTAAAAAAATATTCTCTTGTTTTTACTGTATTTTTTATCTCGTAGATATGAATTTACAATTTCCTTTGCTATATCGTGGCCCTTCTCATTAATAAATACTTAGTAAAAATGATACAGGAAGATAATATTACTATAAAAAAATCGGAACTCTAATTATTTGAACAAACATTTATTTGAAATTTAAACATTATTGAATACAGAACTTTAAACATTACTGAATACTTAGCCATAATTATACAGTTACAAATAAAATTAAACAAATTTTACGTTTGAATTGTCATTTTTATATGATTGTTCATTGCGTTTTCTAATTTTGGCGCCAATACATTGTATATATTGCGATATTAAAATGGAGTGGGGTAATAAAGAGAACCGAATCGCTGTTTTACACAAAGTAAGTATGGAGCCAAATGCAATTTTTAAAACTTTTCATAGGCTTGGTATTAGTAAAATACTCCACGTAGTGTTCGTACGAAAAAGGTGGTCAAAGCAGTAAGGGAAAGAATTCGATGAAATCCTGTCCGAAAGCAAAAGATTTTATCTCGGGAGATGAAGATAGACCTAGAACCATGTCGCGTATTTTAAAAGATTACTTAGGACTTGTAGCCTATAAGAGACGAATTAGTCATTTGTTAACTGTTAATTTAAAAAAAAAATGAGCCGTCACGGGACGCCTGGCAGATGTGAAACATGGACATTATTTGTAAAAGTAATATGCAGAAAAGAACAGATTGTGATAAGAGCTAAATATGTCATAATGATAAAATAAAATATTCTATAACGATTTTTTCCAGATAACGATGACTATTTATTGAATAAACATTTATTTTCATTAAATACAAAAATTTACGAATTTATTTCAAATCGTGACTACTTAATTCGTTTAATCAGTGACGTCGAAATACACACACCGTACACACTACTGCATATAGACTGTATATATACCATCACATAGCGTGGCGAAGCGTCGCCACGGCATGCGTCGCCACGCCAGAAATCGGTTTTACGTGCGGCTATAGATGTTTCACATCAAAAAGAATAGGGTGGTAAAATCGAAACAACTACTACGTCACAGAAATTTTTTGTTTACGGATGAGCAATTTTTTACAACTGAGCAACATTTTAACAAACAAAATGACCGTATTTATGCTCAAAGCTTTAAGGAATCTTCCCAATTAGTCCACAGAGTGCAACGTGGGCACTATCCGACTTCAGTGATGGTTTGTTGGAGGATTAGCTATGTATGAGTGAATGAGCCATACTTTTGTGAAAAAGGTATCAAAACATCGGCACAAGAGTATCATGATACCATTGTTGAGAAGGTAGTGAAGCACACTTAACAACACCATATTTCTCGACAAGACTCGGCACCGGGTCATAATGCTCGGTCTACGTAGTCTTGGTTGGAAACGAACGTTTTGGACTTCATCAGAGCTGAAGACTGGCCGTCGTCTAGTCCCGATCTTGTTCCGCTGGATTATGATTTATGGTCAGTTTTAGAGAGTACGGCTTGCTCTAAACGCCATGATAATTTGGAGTCCCTAGAACAATCCGTACGATTGGCAGTGAGGAATTTTCCCATGGAAAGAGTGCGTGCTTCTATTGATAACTGGCCTCAACGTTTAAAGGACTGTATTGCAGCCAATGGAGACCACTTCGAATAAGCTTTTATATTTAAAATTGTTTTATATTTATGTATTAAACTAACACACTGTAAAAGTAAAATGTTATTTGCAATAGAAAACAATTTATTTTTCTTTGCTTCAGTATTTATGGCAAGACTAGGTATTTATAGCATTGTTGCTGTAATTACGGTGCGAGTCAATTGACAAATCACGAAGTTTGTTTACTCTATGACATAATATCTTTGGGCGGCATATGTACATTGATTTAATATATTGAATTCCACTTTTTGAAATTGAAACAATGGAAATTAACGTAGTTCTTAAAACAATTCCAGGGAATTCCCGCTGATCATAGAACTGTAACTGAATTTTCATGCGCGTGCTCTTCTTTTGCTTCGGGATTCTTTACGACGTCTCTTTCATCTCTTTTATGCAAGAAATAGAGAGCTCTGTAAACAAAAAATGGTTAAGCTTATTGTTATATTAAAACACCTCATAGTTGACTTTAATTGCATTTTTTAATAAGTTGTAAATTAATTATTTATAATTTACACTTTCGAAACTACATAATGTCTTCTTCCTATGTGCGCATTTAACACATAATAAAGAAGATTTCTGTTTCAAAGTTTCAAACGTTAAAGAAAGTATATGTACATGATGTACTAAAATGAATAGTAACTAGAATGGCATACAATGTGTTTTTAAATAAATACAAATTACTCATACCCAGCT